CAAACGATGCTTTTGCGGTGGCTGGCTGTACGCTGAGGTATCCAGGAGTGGCTTGAAGGCCTCAATGAAGATGGCAGCCTCATTGAGAAGTCGCTTTCTCTTGGTAATTTTGGAGGCATCAGTTGGAAGCCCCTGTGCCTTAAGGGCAACTGGCCAGGCCTGAATATTTTGGGGCTTGTCCATCGGACGCTTTCAGCTGAACAAAAAGATTCAGCCCAGTTGGCAAAGTTGAGCAAACCTTCAGGGCGGAGTCTTGTCAACAATTACAGTACATGAAACAATGACTTTCTAGTTTAGGTTTGCCGGTCTCATCAGAGGCAGCGGCTGTTTGGCTGAAGTGCTTTGTTTGTGTCAAGGGGGAAAGGGGAAAGAGCGCGGAAGAGGAAAAGGAACAACAAACGTATACAAAAGTTAAATGTAATGCATTGATAAAGAACAACCTGAACAACTAAGAAAAGGCCAAAGATGCAGCACACCAACAACATATCCATAAAACACCTCAGGGGATTCAAGAGAAGTGGTGTTTGGGCGGCCGATGTTCGACAGTACTTTAAATGCGTGTCCATCCTCAAATATCCATAGCTTTCTCCTTCCCGGTTCAATTCCTGAGATTAACTTCCCTCTCCTACTCCTTTCTTTGCTCTTTCTTTGTTTCTTGCTCCTCTTGTCTTCCTCTCCCTCTCGCTGCTTTGTATTGTGTAACCAGGCTGCATGTTTCAGGTGCCACGCTGCAGGGGGCTGAGTGGGTAGATGCCAAGGGGCTTTATAATAACATGAATAGTAATAAATATATATATATATATATATCATTGCCTCTTGGAAATGTCCCAGAATCAGACTCACACTATTATTACAATGTACAGTCTATTGTGTGTTGCTTTGGGTGTTTGCAGGTCCCAGCACGTTTGTTTTTGATATTTAGTGGGAAAGGAACAGGTCGGTGACAGGCCAGGTGTGGGCGCACAAAGAAAGGTTTAGTTGCTCCTGCTCAACGAGTGTCTGCTCAGGTGGCAAACGGCGAATGAATTCACGACCTATTCAGCCTTATACCCGCCAGCTTTTGGCGAAGCCGTTGCATTTGCTCACGAGATTGCTTCCATGCAGTTGGGTTGGGAAGAGAACATGGACAAGATCCAGGGCTTTGTCACAGAGCTTCTGGGCGATGGTTTTCCCTCCCCGGCAGAGAGAATCAAAGTCGCAGAGGACAAACGTGTTGTCGGGAATGAAGCTGCCTGGCTTCTTCTTGCTTTAGCTATCAGTGGTTGGCCTCGGTGAGTATGGTGAGGGCTCTGTTCTTTGGGGGAAGGGCCTCCCTGTGCGTTCTCCCTGGTAAGGACTCACCTGCAAAGCGTGATTGTTTGTGACGACTTGTGGTGTGGTGTGAACTGTGATGTGGTGAAGGGTGTTTGGTGATGTGGTCTGTACGGCGTTAGTGGTCATTCGTGAATTGGTCATGTGAAATGTAAATGGTTGTTGGTGAAGTGTCCTTTCAATGTGGTGGAGTGTAGAAATTATGTTAGGATGGACAGATTTGCAATGTGGTGAAGGGTATTCGCGGTCATGATTTGCGTTCTGGAGTGTAGCGTTGGTGAGATGTAGTAGTGTCAATAATGTGGTGGAGTGTAGGAAAGTAGTGATTTGCGATGCGCTGCTCAAGTGATTGTGATGTGTGATGCATTACTGCGTAGCATGGTAGGTTGTGAGCTGGTCAACTGGTGATTGGCGATGTGCTACTTTGTGCTGCTTGGCAATGATGTGGTGAACTGCAAATTAAAAGTGTGATTGCATTTTTTGCCCACCCTGGCTCCTCAACATCCCTCAACTCGCAAAGCTGTCAGACCGTGCTTGACACATGGAATCTGGCCAAAAGTCTATAGTAAAAACTAGATGAAGGGGTTGAGAGTAGCTTATGATGTTGTTTTGCAATTAGATTATGTAGCGGGCCCCCAGCTAAGCTAAACACACAAACGCACCTATTCTGCAGCTGGGCGCTAGGTTTGCGGTAGACTTGCGCTAGTGTTGCCTTAGGACATGTTCAGAACGTTGTCAGGTTTTTGAAAAGTGGCTGGCTGAAAAATGCGCTTGCCGCGTGCTAGAAAACATTGCCAGATTCCAGCGTGACCCTTCCAAGTTTCCAAGGCTGACTTGCAACATGTCTTTTGTTTCAAGCCTCAGAGATCAGCTGAAAACGGTGCAGCGCTTCTGACGCCTCTTACAATTTGGCGCCAATACTTGTTTGGTCCATGTTTCCTTCATTAACCAGCTGTGTGTGCCACAAGTAAAGAATATGTAGCGGGCCCCCATGTAAACACGACTCTCAGCCATTTTTGGAAGAAGACAGTTCGACCAAATCCCACATGTTCTTTTCCAAAGCTAGTTTGGTGCTTTTGGCAGTAACTAATATAAGACTCCAGAATAGAGCTACTTTTCAAGGCCCATGTCTTTTGTTGTAGCGGCTAGTCTGATGACCTGTTTGCAGTCTGTAGATTCAGCAACCTCACACTTGGAGGAGTTCCTTCGTAACAACACTGTTGTTGACGAAGATCCAGGGTGGTCTGATGTGGACCAATGGATTCACCCCAAAATGCCGAAAGAGCATCGTCTTACTCTCCTGCGAGAGAAAAGAGATGCGAACAGAGTGTTGAAGTCCAAGCGCAAGCCTGCCTCCAAAGCTTTGAAGAAGGGCGACATGTCTTGCAAAAAGACACGTGTTGAAGTTGCGCCAAAGTTGGATGACGAGTCTGCGGAGGAGCAGGATGTGCCCTCCAGGACAGACTCGCCAGAAGAAAACAGACTGATTTGTGTGTATGTATATATATATATATTTTTTTTGGGGCAAGGTTCTTGTATTACCTGCCGCTGGTTTGTTAAAGTCTAAAGTGTGTTCAATGTTGCTTTTGTACCATCAACTCCCAACAGTTGGACATCTCTTTTGAGGGTCAGTGGTGCGTCCTCGTCCTCTTCTTGTGCACCTCCACTGCGTGGTCAAGCACCTATCACGGCTTTCTTCCCTGCAACTCGTTTGGAATTGCAATGAGCTGTGTATAGGATTTGTTTCTTTCAGAAACAAACTTGTGTTGTGAGTTTGAAGACTTCAATTGCGTATATATTTAGAAGACATGCCTTTTTGATTGAGGCATTGGTGGCATCTCGCGACACTGTCGTGCTGGAGGTGTCTGAGTCTGATGACGAATGCAGCCCAACTGTGGTGGACTTCTTTTGACAGCTACTTGTCACGCAGGCCTTGTACTGAACAATGTTTAGTGCTTGCAGTCAAGGGCCTAAGATAGAAGCCGCACTGGCCAATAGGTGAGGCATTTGGACATCAATTGCAATCTATATTTGTTGGGGGATTGGACCAGATTGGAAGTGGTGTTAGGGTGGTTTAGGAGCCGGCCCCCTTATGCAGCGGACTTCAGGCTGGAAGCTGGAAGCTGGGATCAACTTCTGATTGCGTGGCTTCCCAGATGCTTACCAGAGACAGGTGCACCCAGGGCATGTTTCATTGTCCATGGAATGCACAAAACATTTCGGCTCTGGCGTCAGTGCACCTTTGTACGACTGTGTAGACATGCCGGTGTGCCTTCTACTATATAACCTGTCTTGTATCGTGTAGATTGAACAGTTGTTTGTTTCGCCACGCTGGTTTTCACTTTGACTTGTAGAGCCTAGCGCGATGACACTGCAGTGGAGTGCCTTTGCCTGGCTTCTGGACATTGCAGCAGTGACCTTTCCACGAATCGAAGCCAATCAGCCTCATGGAGTGGATGCTATTGAATGTGCCAGGCATGCTTGCATTGAGATAATGCTTGTATGCGGCAAAAGCACGTTGACTGAGCCGCTAGAGTGTATCTTCGCAGTCTTGACTGCTTGGAAGTTCCACGCGGATGTCGTACCACAGCAGTTTCTTTATATTTGCTCCAAATATGTTTGCCTTTTTGTTGGTTTCAGACCTTTTTGTTGGTTTCAGATACTTGCCGCGTAGCATGAGCAGAAGAAGCTACCCGTAAAGAAACTGAGGTTCATTTCCAAAGCATTGAAGTCCACGCCTGCTGAATCTGCTTATGGTTCTTTGCCTGAGCCTTTGAGCAAGTTGCAAGCAAGGGGCATCACCCACCACCAGATTGACTTTGCCTACTTGGTCGAGGTTCTTACTGAACTGATTTCGCAGAATAAGGAACAGCTGGGCAAGGACGATATGTATTGGCTGCAGTCTGCGCTTTGCACTGCCACAGATGCATGGCTTTGGGTCTTGAAGCACCCATCTGCCAAATGAATGAGCTTTTGGTATGTAGAAGGTGACTAGGCTTTTTGAAGCACATGACGTTGCGTCTGCAGAAACAATTGGGGCTGAATGGGGCTGAATGGGGCTGAGAGTCAGAGTTAGATTCACTAGGTTTTTAAGGCCTCGACGTGGGAATCCAAGTCTTTTTAAGGCTTTTTAGGCAGTGCAACTCGTTTGGAAGGTTTTTAGGCTTTGAGCTTCTTGCTCCTGCCCTGCCTGTCCAAGGCCTGACCACCTCAATCGCAGAGGTGCGGTGGGGCCAAAGGAGCCTGAGGTTTTGAGATGATCAGCGGTTTCCTCCTGGGCCCGGTACGTAGATGCATTTCCCTGGAACCAAGTAAGAAGAAGGTGACTAGTCTCACAACCTTCTGAAGTGAGGTGAAGGCTTTAGAAACCTAAGTCTAAGGGGCTGCTGCAAACTGGCCAGTGTTTCAGGCTACTGGGTTGGTGTGGGACCGCTGTTATGCAAGTATTATTGCTCTGCGTTCACTCAGCACGGTTGAAGGTGAACTGTGCCAGGAGTGAGGCATGCTTCGACGCAAAAAATGTCTATCTACTTTCGGCATTCGGCTCGTGAATTGACTTGTTGGTTGTTGAAAGGATGTACAAACAGTAGGAGGGTCTGCGCAATGGTTTTGTGTAGTTGTGTTTCTGTGCCTGGCAGCAGCGTGTGTTTGGATCGGAACGATTAGGTGAACTCGGTTGTGGACTGGCAATGGGGCGGTCTGAGAAGCATGCAAAGGATAGTAAGAGAAATGAAAAGAAAGTGAAAAAAGATGAAAAACTGAAGAAGAAAAAAGATAAGAAGAAATCCTCTTCCAGTTCGTCAAGTTCAGAGCCTGATGAGAAAGAAACACTCCTGGCCAATGCGGTTGCCTCCTCCTTTGGCTTGAATCTTGTCATTTGCATTCAGGCCAAACTCGACAAGGTTAGGCTTTAAAGGTATACTGGTTTACTGTTGCGCACACTAGTTTACAAGGTCAAAGGTAGTATATACGTGTTGGACCTCGTTTTTCCTTCTCCTTTCTTGTCCACGCTTATATCGTGTCCACACTTATAAAACAGCCAACGCTGTCAAAGCTGCCTCGTTGATTGTGGGGTGCGCCCAGGAAACCCAAAGCGCTGATCTTGAACTCCCGAGTGCAGAAGGTGTCTGACCTAAAGGTTTACTGGATTGCATCCATTTTGGGACGGCAGCGCCCAAGTCTCACAGAGCAAAGTCTGATGCTTGTTGGTGGAGAGTTGTACGAGATGAAGAAGCACGCGCTATCCACCTTGAAGCTCAGCGAGCAGACACCTGCAAGTCTCCAAATCCGTGTTGAATTGGCTAGTGCTGCAGCAATGGCTGAGAAGAAGTGGCGGGATAGACTTCTGACAATCCTGGACAAAGGCAAGTAAGTAGTGTGTCTACCAAATTGATCCATATTGCGTAGTTTGAATTGGGCTCAACTTGTTTTGCCTCCACAATATTGAATCTGTCGCCACCTAAACCCTTGACCCTGCAGTTGCTGGTATGAATGACCTGAGTGTCATTGGACAGCACAACAGTGTGACGTCAATTCGAAGGCTTGTGATGGCTGAGGGGGTGGAGAGAACAACAGGGAATAACTAAGTGCGCTTATTGAGTGAGCTTTGTTTTCAAGGCTGACTAGGTATGTAGTCCTGCTCGGAAAAATGATTTGGGCTGTTTGTTTGCCACTCATTGCCAGGGCGGTTGCCTCTGAGATCGAGCAGCGCAGTTCTGATGAGGATAGCAAGGTCCAGTGGCACGTTGAGTTGAAGCAGCTCATATCCAACTTCAAGGCAGCCGCAAAGAAAGATCTAGATGACATGGCTGGCAGTCCCAAGACAGAGCCCGGTTCATCTACAAGGGTGCCATCTTCTCGTTTCAGGGAATCAGAGCCTTTGTCGAGTGAGGGCTCAGACAGTTCCAAGAGTGGTTCAACTCCACCTCGACCAGTACAGGCTAAGAAGGCTAAGAAGGACTTAGGGCGCCTAAAGTCCTTGTTTGTTGTGAGGAGGATGTCTGGATGTCTGTTGTGATCCCCACCTTCAATTCCACCTTCAGTTGTAGCAGAAGTGGACCCTTGCGTGTGAAAGTTTCCTATCAACCCTTTGCAAGATGTAGCCAGGAGAAGAAAAGACGCACTCTTCACGGCGAGCAGCACGACGCTGACATTTTCCAGGATCGGTTTGCTCGCAATGTGAGGCCATTTGACGCCCCTACAACCAGCTCGGCGAAGGACCAACCAGACGGTGCAGCAACTGCTGAGGAGGAGAACCTGTTTACATTCTTCAAGGAGGAGCTAAACAGGATTGTGAAGCACACCAATGACATTTCTCTGTTTATCAAATGCTTGATTGCAGATGGGATTGAATCTCGGCTGTGCCTTGCGCAATGTGCTTATACTTGCAGCATCTTGCAGCTGTCTTAAAAAGTAGTTTGTATCCAAGTAGTCTGGACGTAGTTGGCATAGAGATCGCATATCCAAGGACAACGTAAGTTGCCTGCTTGATGCTGCTGAGTCTGGGTGGATGCCCACAGCTGAAGTGTGTGGGGCTGCAGCTCGGGAGGTCTTGGGCTGCATTTCATGGAAGGGTCGCCAGAGCTGCGTTGCCTTTATGAAGCATGTAGCTGAGCCAGACAACCTCGCAGCTTGCTATTTGAAGTATGCCGAGCTGTGTTGCAGTTTGGACAGAAGGGCAGGCTAAGCAGTTAGTTAAACATATGTCATATGTAAAAATGTTGTTATAAATAATATTTATAGGGCAATGAGTGATACATAACTACCCCCATAAGTCAGAAGGCCTGGGAAGCAAATTATAGTGGCGTGACGTCTGATTGTGTGGGGTCATGATTATCCTTTCATGAAGAGGGATTCCAAAGACTAAATTATCTCTTCATGATGAAGGGTGCCAAGACTCCTAAATCTCTTCATGAGGAATGAGTTTCAAGATTCCCAAGACATCCCTTGACAAGAAACGATCCCAACACCAAACCTCCGTGGAGAGATTTAACTGACTTAATCTCTTGAGGAGGGATCTGCAAGACTAAACACCTTCATGAGGAGGGTTCCCCAAGAATATATCTTTTTGTGAGAAGAGAGCCCCAAGACTAAATGTTTTATGATGAGAGATCTCCAAAGGCATGAGCGTGTGTCTGAGGAAAAGGCTTGTTGAAAGGTGTATACCCTGTCTCGGCACATGTCTTGGTCATAGATTATGAAGTAGAACATTAGTGGGACATTGTGAAATTCAAGTGGGTGAAGAAAGGGAAGAGACGCACATATAACTGCAGGAAGTTTTTTTTGGGAAGACCTTCCGGATCCCCACCCTTTTGGAACATTGTGCGACACGGTTTCTTCAAAGGCGGTTTGTATTGCGAGGAAAAATGACCTGGGCGACTAGTAGGTTGTCGATGATGTTTTTGTACTTGCGCGTGTGTTTTAAAAGCCGCCATAAAGCACTTCAGGCGAACTACAACAAAAAGGTGAATGCGCCTGACAAGCTGCCTGACAAGCCGCTGAATGAGAGATTGACGCAGGTGGAGGCAACGAAGCCACCTTCTCAGCCGGCTTCACCTGAGAAACCTACCGCGCATGAGCTCACTTTGGCAAGGATGCAGCCGGTCCCGCGGAGTCCAAGCTCTGGCTCAGACTAGTGTCTTTTTTGAGCGCCTGGCCAGTTGAAAGGAGGGTCAGGGTGGCTTTAGCAGCTAGATTTGCAGCTAGAATTGTTCCTGTAAGCCCGAGACAAACCTGAGTCTGTTCTGCGTGGTGCTGACTGGTTGGTCTAAAGAGAATACGCTTGTCAGAATTGTTCCAGGAGTCTTTTGCTTTATATGCCCCAGGCCCCAGGCCCCAAGACTTTCAATTTGAGTGGGGGAAAGAAGGTCCCAGCGGGGGCCGGGGTCCCCTTACAAAACCTTATTTAAACCTGGGTCCCTCACTTTTTCCCTGTCTCGGCCACCGGGAACGTTCTGGCCAGCAACGAACGTTCTGACCCCCCAAGAACGGTCTGAGGGAAGCGGTGCGTACTCACAAAGAAGAAACGAACTGACAGAACACATGCGAGCTCAGACCAAACTGGGAGGGTCAGTTCCAGATGTGCTCTGCGCAGCTCTGAAGCAAAAACCGAGAAAAAAGGATTGTTAGAAAGAATGGGGAAGGTTGCGTTGCCAAACCATACCGCGTGAGACGTTTGTGTTTGCGCAAACATTCTTTCCCAAGCGTTCTTTCTATGTTTTTGCAAGTTTGTGGACGTGACGCCGTGCTGAGACGGAATGGCTGAATTGAAAGAATTGTGGTTGTGTAGGTCGCAATGGACAGGTTTATTGGACCAGTTTGTGGGGACAGGGGAACGTTCTCACGGCCACGCATCGTTCTCACCAGGCGGGAACAGTCTGACACAATCTTTGGCTGTTGTGGACCAAAGAGTTATCTTTCGGTTCAGTCTTTTTGTCCAGCCTTCATGCCGAGCCGCCGAGCAACCGATGAGCCTACATGTGGTCGTAGCCGAAAGAAAAGGAAGGTTGCTGTGGAAACTGGAGCTTCCAATGGACAGTCTGGAGAGGAGGTGAAGCAAGGTGACGCACACTCAGAGTCTTCATCGAGTTCAAGCACCATTCAACTGGCAAGTCATACTGGTTTATGGGAAGCCCCAGTTCTCCGCTTCCAGATCACACCGGCATTCAGGTATTCCACCAAGTACACCCAAAGGGAGCTGGAAAACATGATTCCTGAGTCGTATTGGTTGGAAGATAGCCAGCACGACACTCTTTGCCGTTGTGAATATTGCATGTTAGTCTTCGACCATGACTTCTAATTCTAAGACCTGACCTGCTTGTGGTAATTCGGAAATGCATTGATGCATCCTGTTAAATTCGCATAAGCCAGGTCCTGGTGCGTTTGTTGGACGCACTTGCTTTGTTTTGCGCGCCTGAACCATGAGCAGATTCTTACCACTGGCAAACAGTGGAAAGGCTATAGTGTCTAAAAGCTGTAGCCGATGCTGAGGGTTCTGTGGGGTGGTTCTGTGGGTTCCTGGGGTTGTTTGCCTTGTTGGAGCGTTGTTTGCATCCAGCCGCTGCCGCTGGGGGTTGTGGTAGTGTATGTTGGGCCACATGGAGCCCATTCAGGATGCTGCCCGGGGTCAGGATGCGCCCGGGGGTCGGCAGCACCAGGAGCTGTCAGAGGCAGGGTTGCAGTGGGTTGGGCAGCGCTCTTCCTTCTGTGTGCGATCATATGAAGCAAACAGGATTGTAATTGACTTTAGTGGGTGTGGTGTAGGTTGTCAGAGGTGAGTCCTGTCACCCACACAGGAACGATGGAAACATCAGCTTCAAATGCTGCTTGCCAAGCTTGAGAATGATGACAAGGAGGCCAGGGCTGAAGCCTTGCACCAGGTGCGAGCTTCGATTGCCTTGCGATGGGTGCATTTGGTGAAAATGAGAGCGCTGCTACCCAAGGGGGAGTTCGAAGCGCAGTTGGAATCAATGAGGTCGCATATGTCGAGCTTACTTGAAATCCATGGACAGGAAATACCCTTCTGTCTTGAGCCGACAGAGAGGCTTGAAGGTGCAGTCGCTGAGAAGTCGAGTGCAGACTCAGCTGTGAGCAGTAGTCCAAAGTCCTCTGTGGTGAGCAACGTTCTACCACATGTCTTCAAGTTCATTCAGTTCGAGAACAGCAGTGTGTGGTCAGTGGTCCAGGCATTGACCTTTCCTGTTGATTGCAAATTGTGAATGCCAAATGTTCACGTCTAGCTGGGCGGTTTTGTTTGTGCAGGACATTTATACAGCACCTGTGTAGTGTACACAAACATTGACAATCTGTCTTCTGATGGAGGCACTTTTCAGACGAACAGTTCTTACTTATTCAAGATCTGAAATCTGTAGACTGTTTGTAGGGAATGGGGATGTTAAGGCCTTTTGTGGGTCTCATTCATCCAGGTAGACAAGAACTTTTCTGTGGATGGGTACAGGAACTTCTTTGCCTTTGCAGAGTGGTGGACCTTCAAGACTAAGTATACGCAGTGGTGGACCAAATCCTTTGAGAGTGCTTGCCTACCGCTCACTGCAGATTTGGGGTTGTCGCCAGGGCATGTGCTTTGCCAAAAGAAGTAGTGTTTTGCGAGCCATTGTTGCAGGCTAGGGTAACCTGATGTGTCATGTCTAAGAAGCTAGAAACCCACATGTAGGATTCGTACACACATTGCGTAAGTTTAATTCCTGACAGACTGTTTTGCGAGTCCAGGTGATGCGACGTTTGCAGTACAAAGGTGGCACAAAGCTCAACTACACACTTCCAGTGGATGCAGCTTCCTCCATTGGAATCCTGATCGTTGTAGGTACAATCCTGCCTGCAGCGTCTTTGTCGTCTGAGGCATTGCTGGAATGCCGCAAAATGCTGAAGGCCTTGGAAGCGTACTCCAATGTGCGAGAGATTGTTGCAATTGCACCAGAAGGCCGTGAGCTAATCCTAGAAGCAACTCCACAGGGCTTGTTTCTGCTAGCAGACCTGAAGCACATGTTCAAGAAGCTGGGCCTCAACTTTGCCAGGCCAGCTACCAGGTTTGTTTTCGATTGTCAAAAATGTTTATCATTCGATATGGAAGATTAGTCGAACAAAGAGTTCGTCATTTGATCAGTCTCAACCTCATGACCAGGTTTCAGCAGAAGCTACAAGGGGCTCCTGCTGCTCTTTCCATCTCTGAGATCATAGTTGCACTATTCCGTATGCGTGGCTCTCAGGGCAATCAGGATCCAAACTCCACCTTCCATCGCTTTCTGAAGCGTTTGTGCCATTCCTTCAGTCAATCTGTGGAAGTCGGTGTGGAGGGGCATCTCTTATGTGAGTGCCCTGACCCTGTGGTCCATGCTCGTGTTCATCCGTTCATGAAGCGGAGCAGGACAGGTGGGAACAAAGTGCTTCAGAAGAGTTTGATTGCCCGTTGGCAGTCCAGAGGCGGTGGATTTGCGTCCACCAAGGACAACCCAAACTTGGCCACTTTGGGAATCGTAGCTCCTCGTAGCAATTTGGCTTCGCGTACTACCAATGAACTGGCAGTCCGTGCTCTCATGAAGGCTGCTCAATGCATGGAGGAGTCAGCATCAACTAGCAAGGTACTGAACTTTTGCTTTGATGCGGCCATGGTGTCAGAAGAGCATGCAACCCGAAGCAAAATCATGTGAGTTGAGTTGTAAGATTGTTCTCTTTTCCTCCACTTATTTGTATATCAGGGACACTTCAAAAGATGAATTGCGAACCAGATTTGATCATTTATTGGCTTCAGGTGCTCAGTGTGGTCTTCAGAAGCAATGGGGTTCAGTTTGCCGGAGCCACCCAACTGTTGCCACATGGCCTATGCGAAGAGCAAGCTACAAGTGCCTTACAGTCCTTCTCAAAAGCTGCGAAGGCCCAGATGGAATCGCACGGTGGACCAGCCAAAATTCCAAGCGGCTCGTTTGCTTGGAAAGAGTTCAGAACCAAGACGAAAAACACACTCATGGCCTTAGTGAACTGCTTGCAAGTGATACTTCCTCCAGGCTTCAGTCTGAGGAACTGCTGCCCTGAGAAGAGTCTCGTTCCACGTACCAAAGACGCAGAGCGCTTCCTTTTGCTTCCGCAGGAGAAGCAAGCGTTGGGGCTGAGTGATTGGCCGGACGATGCGCAGCTTCACTTTGTCTACCACTTTGGCCAGCAAACCAGATGGCTTGACTTCATTCCATCGACAAACAGCATGTACAAACTGTGCTTTGCAGCCGACGAAGGCTCAGAGGCGCGCTTCCAACAAGTTACGTGGTGTTTTTATCTGTTTCTTTGAACTTTGCTCCAGCGCTTTACTACCTGTGCCAAAAGCTGTGTTGCTATACCTTGGTTCACGACCTCTTGAGCCCTATAATAATTTGTACGCCTCACATATGACGCTAAGTTCTGAGTGTACATTGAATTTGCATACTTTGCAGATTCGTAGTAGGTTGTCCTTTCATTCAATTCCAGGCCGCGTACTTTTGTATATGCCGGCTATATAAATACTTCTGCTTTGACACTTGCCGGGTCACTGGGTGATGGTAGAAACTTATATATATATATATTTATAGAAGCACTGACTGGCGCCCTGAGGGATTTATTGCTTGGCTTCATATGAATGCTTCGTCAGTGTGGAGTGTGTACTGGCCAGATATGATGCACAAACTGGCAAGGAAGGCCAGCCTGTCATTGACAAACTCAGGTGCATCACAGTGGCTTAAGAAAACGAACAAGCTTTACCGGATGAGCCTTGGTCCATGGGGCTCAGGTCGCTTTGGGAAGGAGCTTCTGGCGGCTCGAAAACACCTTCTCAAGGCACTCAAGGATGGGTCGTTTGACCAAGATCTTCTGGAGTCATGGCTTCGTCAAGTAGCCAAAGACCAACAAGTTGACCCTGCTGAGTTTTCTGTCAGCGACTTGGTGCTTCTTCTGGAGAAGTCAGGACAATGGTTGAAAGGTGACATCATATTGAATACTATACTAACACATGCTTCTGTTTCAGGCAACTTCCATGACAAGAAGTAATTTCCATGAATGTCTGCTGCAGGAACTGCTCACGTGAGAGCTGACGAGCGCAAGGATGTTCGCTGGTTTAGCTTCTATGATCACACTTCCTCATGGAACCGACGAT